TGGAGGCTCTTCAGCTCCACCATCAGGGCCTTCTGCGAGCTCGGGGTCACCTGCTGTGCCATCGCCTCCGCCGCTCTGTCGCCTACGGCAACAATGACAACAACAACAACCGTCAGATCACCTCCTCTGTCGCCTACGGCAACAATGACAACAACAACAACCGTCATGACAACAACAACAACCGTCAGATCACCTCCTCTGTCGCCTACGGCAACAATGACAACAACAACAACAACGACAGTCAGATCACCTCCTCTGTCGCTTACGGCAACAACAACAACAACAGTCAGATCACCTCCGCTCTGTCGCCAACAACAACAACAGTCAGATCACTTCCTCTCTGTCACCAACAACAACAACAACAATGACAACAACAGTCAGATCACCTCCGCTCTGTCGCCAACAACAAACAACAACAACAACGACGACAACAACAGTCAGATCACCTCCTCTCTGTCACCAACAACAACAACAACAACAGTCAGATCACCTCCGCTCTGTCGCCAACAACAACAACAACAACAACAACAGTCAGATCACCTCCTCTCTGTCGCCAACAACAACAACAACAACAACAGTCAGATCACCTCCGCTCTGTCGCCAACAACAACAACAGTCAGATCACCTCCGCTCTGTCGCCAACAACAAACAACAACAACAAGAACGACAACAACAGTCAGATCACCTCCTCTCTGTCGCCAACAACAACAACAACAACAGTCAGATCACCTCTGCTCTGTCGCCAACAACAAACAACGACGACGACAACAGTCAGATCACCTCCTCTCTGTCGCCTACGGCAACAACAACAACAACAACAGTCAGATCACCTCCTCTGTGTCGCCTACGGCAACAACAACAACAACAGTCAGATCACCTCCTCTCTGTCGCCTACGGCAACAACAACAACAGTCAGATCACCTCCTCTCTGTCGCCTACGGCAACAACAACAACAACAGTCAGATCACCTCCGCTCTGTCGCCAACGGCAACAACAACAACAGTCAGATCACCTCCTCTCTGTCGCCTACGGCAACAACAACAACAACAACAGTCAGATCACCTCCTCTCTGTCGCCTACGGCAACAACAACAACAACAACAACAGTCAGATCACCTCCGCTCTGTTGCCAACAACAACGACGACAACAACCATCAGATCACCTCCTCTCTGTCACCAACGGCAACAACAACAACAACAACAGTCAGATCACCTCCTCTCTGTCGCCTACGGCAACAACAACAACAACAACAGTCAGATCACCTCCTCTCTGTCGCCAACAACAACAACAACAACAGTCAGATCACCTCCGCTCTGTCGCCAACAACAACAACAACAGTCAGATCACCTCCTCTCTGTCGCCAACAACAACAACAACAGTCAGATCACCTCCTCTCTGTCGCCAACAACAACAACAACAGTCAGATCACCTCCTCTCTGTCGCTTACGGCAACAACAACAGTCAGATCACCTCCTCTCTGTCGCTTACGGCAACAACAACAACAACAACAGTCAGATCACCTCCTCTCTGTCGCCTACGGCAACAACAACAACAGTCAGATCACCTCCTCTCTGTCGCCTACGGCAACAACAACAACAGTCAGATCACCTCCTCTCTGTCGCCTACGGCAACAACAACAACAACAGTCAGATCACCTCCTCTCTGTCGCTTACGGCAACAACAACAACAACAACAGTCAGATCACCTCCTCTCTGTCGCCTACGGCAACAACAACAACAGTCAGATCACCTCCTCTCTGTCGCCTACGGCAACAACAACAACAGTCAGATCACCTCCGCTCTGTCGCCTACGGCAACAACAACAACAACAACAGTCAGATCACCTCCTCTCTGTCGCCTACGGCAACAACAACAACAACAACAACAGTCAGATCACCTCCTCTCTGTCGCTTACGGCAACAACAACAACAGTCAGATCACCTCCTCTCTGTCGCCTACGGCAACAACAACAACAGTCAGATCACCTCCTCTGTGTCGCCTACGGCAACAACAACAGTCAGATCACCTCCTCTCTGTCGCCTACGGCAACAACAACAACAGTCAGATCACCTCCTCTCTGTCGCCTACGGCAACGACAACAACAACAAAAATCGTCAGATCACCTCCTCTCTGTTGTCGCCAACAACAAACAACAACAGTCAGATCACCTCCTCTCTGTCGCCTACGGCAACAACAACAACAGTCAGATCACCTCCTCTCTGTCGCCTACGGCAACGACAACAACAACAGTCAGATGCCCTCCCGTCCTCCTTAGGTTGAACCTTGCGTTAGGTTTTAGCACCAAAAGATGATTTAGGAGGAAATGTGGAAGAAAAGGGAAATGTTTTAGTGGTTCCTCAAGCTGATGACGTTTCCTGAAAATTTACAAATTTTTGTTTTCAAGAAACTTTTCTGGACTTTCCAGGTCATTTTTATGCAAGTTTCAGTTTGTGTTTGCAGAATAAAATGACAAATTATTAGAATCCGCCTTATTTATTTAGTTCTGTGTTGTGGTTTAGGCCATAGGGACATTTTCAAGTGTCTTGAGAAAATGCTAAATATTAATTAATTTGCATAAGATTTTACCTAAATACTTTGGTCAGATATGGAACCAAATACAGGGTTCGAATCTAGATAATCTAAACAAATAAAATAACATTTTTGAACCACCTAGACTAAACCCAATCATCTTGTATCCATGTGTGTCAGATGCCCTCCCAGATGTGGAGGTGTGGTTGGATATCAGTGAAAAACCGGGCAGCACTAACCAAAGATGCTAAACTGGACACAAACGGTTTTAATTCACAATTTAACTTAAAATGTAAATAAGAAAAGGAAGTTTTTATTTCATTTTAAGGGCCTGTGTTACATTATTTTCTGATCTTTCCTCATTTGTTTTAGTTTCCTCATCAAAAACACGAAGTAGAGCCGAGTGTGTTTTGTTTCACTCACAGGTTTAACACACAAACCTCCCTCATGTAGTCCTCGTTTAGACCTCATGTAGTCCACGTTTAGACCTCATGTAGTCCACGTTTAGACCTCATGTAGTCCACGTTTAGACCTCATGTAGTCCACGTTTAGACCTCATGTAGTCCACGTTTAGACCTCATGTAGTCCACGTTTAGACTTAGTTTTGACCTGGTTTAGAGTTAGTTTAGTCCTGGTTTAGATCAAATTGGTCAAAAATAGGGACATCTGGGACATTTCTTGTAAAAAACTGGGACAAAACACAACTCCAGCTCTGTTTTTGAGGAGGAACATTAGAACATGGTTTAAAACTCACAAAGAATAAATGTAATGTAATATGGAAGGTTTACGTGTTCCTGAAGTTCACACAAATTTCACCTGGTGTCAAAGTGTTTACGTGGATAATACGAGTAGAAAACGGTGGAATAGTGAGTAAAACGCTGCAATGATTAGTGTTCATGGCCTGATAATAAGTTCTCAGACGATAAAAAGCTTTAAATTCTGCTAAACGTAAACTGTTTTTAAGAATGTTTATCTAGAATTTGGCAGAATTTAAAGCATTTGATCATCCTAGAACACTATTTTTTATCATTTTATCAGGCCACAAGCACTAAACATACACAGGTTTTAAGTCTGTTTATCTAGAATTTAGCAGAATTTAAAACACTTTATGTAGAATATGGAATCTGAGAACTTACATCAGGCCATGAACACTAAACGTAAACTGTTTTTAAGTCTGTTTATCTAGAATTTAGCAGCTAAGAACTTATTCTTAGGCCATTCACACTCATCATAAACTGGTTTTAAGTCTGTTTATCTACAATTTAGCAGAATTTAAAGCATTTTATGTAGAATTTGACAGAATTTAGAGCATTTTATCTAGAATTTAGCAGAATTTAGAGCATTTTATGTAGAATTTAGCAGCTGAGAACTTATTATTAGGCCTTGAACACCAGTGTTGGGAGTAACGCGTTATAAAAGTAACGAATTACAGTAATGCATTGCTTTTTGCTGTAACGCAGTAATGTAAGACATTACAGGGGAAAAAAATTGTAATATTTTACTCGGTACAAATGTGAGTAATGCGCGTTACAATGCTTTTTTAACCTGGATCGAAGTGGTGTGTTTTTCTTCATACAAATTCGCTAAAATCACCGCGATATCAGCAGCGGTGAAACACCGGAGACGTGGCCGAGTAGACCTTCAGGTAACCGCGGGGAAAGGACCGACACAGAACTCTACGCTGTTTAGACCTGGTTTAGACCTGGGTCAGTTCTGGTTTAGACCTGGTTTACAGTCGTCCGAAGTGCTGTATGTTTGTGAGTTTTCTCTCCGACAAAAGCCGCTCCTTTCTCCTGCGTCACCTTCGAGCCCATCCCGACAGTGAGTCCTGTTTTAGTCCTGGTTCAGTTCTGGTTTAGTCCTGGTTTTGTTCTGGTTTAGTTCTGGTTTAGTCCTGTTTTAGTCCTAGTTCAGTCCTGGTTTAGTTCTCCTCTTCAGTCCTGGAATCAGTCCGAGGTTAGTCCTGTTATAGTCCTGGTTCAGTCCTGGTTCAGCTCTGGTTTAGTCCTGGTTTAGACCTGGTTTAGACCTGGTTTAGTCCTGGTTCAGTCCATATACGGTGCAAAAGTTCAGCATCTTCGCAGTTATTTTGGTGAGAGTAACTTAAAGTAATGCAATAGTAATGTAATGCCTTACATTTTAAATGCAGTAATATTGTAATGTAACGAATTACTTTGAAATGACAGTAATAAGTAATAAATAACGCATTACATTTTTAAAGTAACTTGCCCAACAGTGTTGAACACTTAACATTAACTGGTTTTAAGAATGTTTATCTAGAATTTTGCAGAATTTAAAGCATTTTATGTAGAATTTGGAATCTGAGAACTTACATCAGGCCATGAACACTAAACATGAACTGTTTTTTAAGAATGTTTATCTAGAATTTAGCAGAATTTAGAGCATTTTATCTAGAATTTCGCAGCTGAGAACTTATTATCAGGTCATGAACACTAAACATGAACTGGTTTTAAGTCTGTTTATCTCAAACTTAGCTCCATAAACTTGTTTCCAGCCCATGAACCTGAGCACAGACGCTTCCTTCTAGTCTAGAGGAGGTTTATTTTATATTTTTAGAGAGTAAAATGCTCTTGCTGCATGGACACATCATTTCACTACTTTTAGGTGATTTTCTGGCACATTTCAGTGTTTCTATCTTAAACTTTGGCCGGGCTTTCGCGGTGTGGAGCGTTCCGGTAAACAAAGTGTCCGCGGACATGACAGCGGCGTGGCCCGCAGCTCGCTCCCCGCTCCTCTTCCTCTTTTCTGGGCCTTTGTGCGGAAAACGAGCCCCCCGAACCCCCCCGGTACCTCCGTGTGTGTGCGCTCGTCCGTCCCGGGGCTGAGAGGCGGGTCAGTGGCTCATGTTGGCCGGGCCTCGGTGCTCGGAGCTCGGACTCGGGGGGCTCGGGGGACTCGGGGGTCGGCGCGGCGGCTGCTCCTCGGCTCTGTCCCCGGGTGCGAGGCGCTTCTCCCGGCGGCTCCTCGGGCGGTTCGGGGGGTGGTTCGGGGGTGGTTCGGGTTCGGTGGGTTCGGTGGGTTCGGGCACAGCTGTTGTTTACGTTTTGTTTGGGGGGTGAAGTTGCCCACACGTCAGCTTCACTCCGGGGGGAAACGGGAGCCGAAAGAGCCGCTGTCTGCTCGGTCCCGCGGCGCTCGTCTCTGCGGGGACGTGAAATGTTGAGTCCCGCGTGTTTATCTGCGGGGAAATCTGCGCCTTTTACGTGAAAAAAGCAGAATTCTGGAGCTTCGACCGATTTTATTTTCCTCCCGTCGACGCTTCCGGCTACTGCGCGTGTCCGCTGCACGTAAAAGCACGCAGGCTACGGACGTGACGTGCGCGCTCCCGACAATAATAATAATAATAATAATAATAATAATAATAATAATAATAATAATAATAACTTGTATTATATATTTTTCCTTTTTTAAATTTCGTAAATAATTTATGGTTTTGCTTTTATGGTTTTATTTTTTTAGGACTGGTATGAGAAATTTTTAGCTATTTACCTTTTTATTGTCTTAATTTTCTGATCTCTGTGCAGCACTTTGAAAACGGCTTTGTTTGTAAAATGTGCTGTAAAAAAAAAAAAAAAAATAAAAAAAAAAAATATATAAAATTATAATATATATATATATATATATATATATTATATATAATTATTATTATTATTATTAATAATAATAATATTAATGATTTATTATTGAAATTAAGTTTATTTGGAATTAAATGTAATTATTTTTGTATGTTTCTGCATGAACTATACAGCAAAACTGAAGGGTTAAAATTTCAGGGTAAAATAGAATAAAGTTGTTTTTAACACAAAAAGTGTTATTTTAATTATTTGAAAATTAAATGGGGGTTTGAGTTGAGCTGATATGGTTGAAGTTAATTCAGTCTCGACTAGTGTTAATTCAACTTCCCCTAGTGTTAATTCAACTTCCTCTAGTGTTAATTCAACTTCCTCTAGTGTTAATTCAACTTCCTCTAGTGTTAATTCAACTTCCTCTAGTGTTAATTCAACTTCCTCTAGTGTTAATTCAACTTCCTCTAGTGTTAATTCAACTTCTTCTAGTGTTAATTCAACTTCTCTAGTGTTAATTCAACTTCCTTAGTGTTAATTCAACTTCCTCTAGTGTTAATTCAACTTCCTCTAGTGTTAATTCAACTTCCTCTAGTGTTAATTCAACTTCCTCTAGTGTTAATTCAACTTCAGTGTTAATTCAACTCCTCTAGTGTTAATTCAACTTCTTCTTCTAGTGTTAATTCAACTTCCTTTAGTGTTAATTCAACTTCCTCTAGTGTTAATTCAATTTCCTCTAGAGTCCTTTAGAGTTAGACTTCTGTTTGATTTAGTCACGATGTTTGAAGTGAAACGTTGATCCCTGTGGGCGTCTGTCAAAATGTTTACAGTAAAAACACATGAGGTCGGGACACTGATGTGGAGACTAGAAAAACACAACTAGAATCATATAAATATTAAAAATAAAATATAAATAAGGGATGAGATTATAAATGTCCCACATGACACTGTTTTTGATCTTAGTTTCCTCGTCACACACACAGACACCTGGAGCTGTGTTTTGTTTCATTCACACATGTTTAACTCACAAAACCTGCACATTTAGGCTTTAGAGCTCTTGTCTGTTCCACCTTGTGATGTCATCGTGTGGTGATACAGGAAGTATCACCATTTTGTAAAGGAGCTTACCAGAGGAAAAAGTGGGACTTGTGAAACGTTCCGGTTAATGGTTTTCTGTGTAAATGTGTTTGTGTAAATGTGTGTGTAAGTGTGTAAATGTGTGTGTAAATGTGTGTGTAAATGTGTGTGTAAATGTGTGTGTAAATGTGTAAATGTGTGTAAATGTGTGTGTGTGTGTAAATGTGTAAATGTGTGTGTAAATGTGTGTGTAAATGTGTGTGTAAATGTGTAAATGTGTGTGTGTAAATGTGTGTAAATGTGTGTAAATGTGTGTAAATGTGTAAATGTGTAAATGTGTGTAAATGTGTGTGTGTAAATGTGTAAATGTGTAAATGTGTGTAAATGTGTGTAAATGTGTGTGTAAATGTGTAAATGTGTGTGTAAATGTGTAAATGTGTGTAAATGTGTGTGTAAATGTGTGTAATGTGTAAATGTGTGTGTATATGTGTAAATGTGTGTAAATGTGTAAATGTATGTGTAAATGTGTGTAAATGTGTGTGTAAATGTGTAAATGTGTGTGTATATGTGTAAATGTGTGTGTATATGTGTAAATGTGTGTGTGTAAATGTGTGTGTAAATGTGTGTGTAAATGTGTGTGTGTGTAAATGTGTGTGTGTGTAAATGTGTGTGTATATGTGTAAATGTGTGTGTATATGTGTGTGTAAATGTGTGTGTAAATGTGTGTGTAAATGTGTGTGTAAATGTGTAAATGTGTGTGTAAATGTGTGTGTAAATGTGTGTGTAAATGTGTGTGTAAATGTGTAAATGTGTGTGTAAATGTGTGTGTGTGTAAATGTGTGTAAATGTGTGTGTGTAAATGTGTAAATGTGTGTGTATATGTGTAAATGTGTGTGTAAATGTGTGTGTAAATGTGTGTGTAAATGTGTGTGTAAATGTGTGTAAATGTGTGTAAATGTGTGTGTAAATGTGTGTGTAAATGTGTGTGTAAATGTGTGTGTAAATGTGTGTGTGTAAATGTGTGTAAATGTGTGTGTAAATGTGTGTAAAATGTGTGTGTGTGTAAATGTGTGTAAATGTGTGTGTAAATGTGTGTGTAAATGTGTGTGTGTGTGTAAATGTGTGTGTGTGTGTAAATGTGTGTAAATGTGTGTGTAAATGTGTGTGTAAATGTGTGTGTAAATGTGTGTAAATGTGTGTGTAAATGTGTGTAAATGTGTGTAAATGTGTGTAAATGTGTGTGTAAATGTGTAAATGTGTGTGTAAATGTGTGTAAATGTGTGTGTAAATGTGTATAAATGTGTGTCATATTCTCCAGCAGTTTCATAAATCTGCTCCATCACCAAATCTTCAACCAAGAAGAAAAATTTCTCCACAACAATCAAGAGAAAAAAGACGAAAACGACGACGACGACGACGCATTAGTGACACAACAAACTAAACTAATGTTCTGATCATGAAGAAAACAGAAGGAACTTGTTCACTCAGACTCATTCTACTGTTATAATTCAAATTTGATTTGATGATGTGGATATTTGCACAGACACAGAGATTTATGACGTTTGAATGTGAACATCTGTAACATTTAAACTGCACAAATCTCTCTGTCTATGCTAATACCAACATTATGAAATACATTTTTCATTTTAATTCTAGAATCAGTCTGCAATAACAAGTTACTCGTTCATGAATTACTTATTACTGATGTTATTCATTACCCAGTGTGACCGGTCGTCCCTGTTTCCTCGGGACAGTCACAGTTTTGAGTCTGTGTCCCCTGTCCCTGCAGATTTATACAAAACCACTGATTTGTCCCACAGTTTTATACAAGAAATGTCCCAGTGTCTCTATTTTTGACCAATCTGATCCTGCAACAGTAAAGAGACATAAACTGACATTTGTTTAGGCAAAATACAGAAAAGCTGCTTAAAAATGACCCAAACACTATAAAAATGTGACTGTACAGACTCATGTTCGTCATGAATCGTCTCTGCGGAGCAATTTTCCTTAATTACAAACTCGTTTCACTATTTTATTATTACCAACCAACAAAAACGGGGATGTCTCAGTTCCCTGTCTTTACCACAGGAGTATTTCACTAATGTGGCTCGTTATTTCCTTTAAGTTTTCATCTTTCTTCCCTTGATAGTTGTGGATAAATTCTTCATGGAAGAATGACCAGGCGCTGCTTAAAAGAACAGAGAGACATGAGTGTGTGTGAGTGTGTGTGTGTGAGTGTGTGTGAGTGTGTGTGTGTGTGTGAGTGTGTGTGATCTCCAGTGACTGAGGGACATGAAATATACATGACTGAAACCACAACGTAAACTTAATTGTATAAAAGTGTTATGAAACAGTGAGAGTCTAACTTAACACAATGAGTAATTACACATGTCAGACAAAAAATGAATAAATTAAAGATACTTATTTATGATACATCAGTAAATAGTAAACACATAATATGTATCTGTTTGATTCTCACTCTCGATATAAAAAAACCCATCACTGGTCGAGCGTCAGATCCACAGACCCACAGGTTGGTGGTGCGATTCCAGCTCCTACAGGTGAATGCTGTTGTTGTGTCACACTGGTGTGTGAGTGTGTGTGTTAATGTGTGTGCGAGTGTGTGTGTGTTAATGTGTGTATGAGTGTGTGTGTTAATGTCTGTGTGAGTGTGTGTGTTAATGTGTGTGTGAGTGTTAATGTGTGTGTGAGTGTGTGTGTTAATGTCTGTGTGAGTGTGTGTGTTAATGTCTGTGTGAGTGTGTGTGTTAATGTGTGTATGAGTGTGTGTGTGTTAATGTCTGTGTGAGT